TCATCTGCAAAATTAATGAGCCCCATAACAATAAAAATGTTAACTGCAACATTTAAATTATTTCTCCTTCATATCCTTCAGATGTGTGAAATGCCTTTAACAACAGTGCCGTTAAAGTTGTCAATGTATCCCAAACATAGTTGGTGTTATTCAATATAAATAAAACAACTGCATTCCCTTTAAGTGCACTCGTGAACCAGCATGTATAATCCTGGCAGTAACAGACCTAAATAGAATGGAGCCATAATATACGCTTTTAGTTACACACGTGTCTGAAAACTGTCCACCATAAGACACGTCTAATATCTGTGAGCATGTTACGGAAAAATATATTTAGTTGAGGTTACATTACCTGCACAGCATATGCTCGCACATTCCTAGACACACAGGCTCCGTCATTACATTTGAGCTGGAAGAGGAGAAAACATTTTAAAGTGGTCAGTACAGTCAGAGTAGGTAATACCAGTATTTTGGTCTGTAAAAAGATGAATGGTCTATACTTGTAGATGAGAGGTTGTACTTTGACTGGATAATGGTGCTAGGTAAGAGGTCAAGTTGTTAGAATTCATCCACTGCGGACTATGAATGTCAAAAGAGTTATAGAGATTTTTTGATTACAGCTAAACACGTGAGTAACCACTAGGGATGGGTATCGTTTGAAATGTATCGATTCCGATTCCGGTTCTGCTTATCGATTCCGGTTGTTATCGATTCCCCGTATCGATTCCAAAATTGTAAAAGAAAGAGGTCAAACGTTTGGATAACAAAAGTATCTTTACTCTTTTAAGCTTTAACTGACATTTTTACAAATAAAAAATATACATGCAATACAAATGTATTGCGCAATAGCTGTGCTTTATTTTAGCTGAGCTGTGCCTTTGGAAATACAAAGCTCCACAGTGAAATGTGTAGTCTGTGCTGTAAAAACAAAAAGCCAAGAAGATTCTCAACTCCAAAGGAGGGTGGTTGTCACCACAGTCTGATCTTAACCTTGCATCAGATATTCTGACTTTTCAAACTCTTTCCATCAGGCTGGAGGTAATAAAGCATCCTAGCATCCCGACTGCTACATGTCCATTTCCTCCACACAGACATGTTAACATTCTGCTATATCTTACCACTCGAACCAAATAAACCCACCATTTCCAAATCCTTACTGTTTACACTGTGAGCTTTCTGCATGTATTTACTGTAGTCTAACTATTCAATTCTTATATCCACAATTTGATTTTAGGTGCAATGCCATCTTTTCACTCCTCAGGCCAAACCGATGAGTAGGCTATGTGTAGTGCTGTCATGTGTATGTATGTTAGTTCTGCATTCATTTGTAGTTACTTGGTCACATAACATGAAACCTTTCGAAACAAAACACGACTTTTTAATAACTTAAAACTAGGTTTTACATAAAAAGATATCTGTAGGCTTTAAAAACAATGATATATCTTTCTTTTAAATATTCAGAATAAATAAAAGTAGCACTAAAATTCCAATTAAAAAAGAGGCGTGACTTTCCTTTCCAGTGTTGTAACAATATCATGCATCTATTTCCCAAAAATAAGATATTTCCTTTACAATAAACAGCAGCAGAAATATCCTAATAACATGAACATGTTTAGCATTTTTTATAATATGAAACTGAGAGGGGGGAATTGAGTAATGTCAAAATATAACTTAAATCTAACCTGTACCAATTTGCTTTCCTGTTGTGACTCACCGTACAACCCTACTCTGAATAATACATTAATTAATTAATTAATTAGTTAATCACCATGCTTTGCCCATAGAAAACGCTTCAATTAAAGTTATTACAATCAGGTGAGGACGTTGACAACTTAAACGTGTGTGAGCTTGCTGAACATATTGTAGGCATCGTCTTCTAGGGTTTTACAGCAGGTTAATCGACTAGTTGTAACGTGTGTTTATTCTTTGTTTACCTTTAGGCAACAAATGATGCTACATTACCTCCCGAAGGTAGCCTTACATCACTTCTACGTTACAGTAACTGTAACGTAAACTTACCATTTGGAGCAAAGCAGAAGCTTTCGAAAGTTCGCAACCGCCTCCTTAGTGTTCTTCCAATCCTGTGTAGGAACGAAGGCATCATTATCCATTATCAAAGGATTGTATGTGTCTGTCTTTGTTTTTATTCTGCTACCGACTCAAGCTTGCACAACAAGCCGAGTATGCTTCCTGTATACTTGCATCTCCCGCCAAAGATTTACGGAAGTCAGATGACGCAAGTTCCGGTGCGGTTTGCAATAAAACAATATAAAATGCAAATATATATTAATGACATCAAACAATCCTTGTTCGTTTGTATCAAGTGTCGGATTGTTTTAAATTTAGTAACCAGTTTTATTTTTTTCTTGTAGCCTTTTTGAATTAGCTTGAATTTACAATTGTGAAACAAGATGTATGGGTATGCGATTAGTTTTGTATCATAAAGATAAAGCAATACTTTCTCAGAATAAAGCAAAACTATGAGTTTAAAAGAAAAAAAAATTAGTCAAGCAAAGTAAAATAAATTTCAAAAATAAAACTATAAGTTGCAAACAAATCATTTGTGTAATCATGTAAACTATAACGGCCCGTCCACACAGCGGCGTACGTTGACGCTTCGCCATCGTCGGAGCGTTGCTGGCGTGGCTCGCTGCAAAATTTGATTAATGTTCCACTTTTGACGCCTCGGCAGAAGCGTCAGCCAATCGAATCATATGCCAGTACTTGCTCTAGCCAATCAAACCGCTGCTTGTGTGTCAGGTGCGGGAGATTCATGTGATTGGTTGTTGGTCGAGTGTCAGACACGCCCGCCGGCAAGCGTCAACGCACGCCGCAAACATAGGTTTTTGTTTGCAGTTCTTGTTTCTTCTTTCTCAATGATCAGACTTTTGCTCTCGCTCCAGCTCTCTCTTTTATGCTCCCTCATTTTTTGTTTTCAATTCTGACACAAACGTCCCAGGTGGGCGGGACTTTCAGGGGTGCATCCCCATTGGCTACTCAGTTTTAGAGTGACAGCCCAGTCCACCAGCGATTGTACAGTGCAGCTGCGGTGCGGTAGATGAGTGGATAGAACACCCCCAGAAGAACCAGCATTTCAATTATTATAATACTACAAGTGAAAATATATGTAAGTATTGATCATTTGTGTAACAACACAAATGATCAATACTTACATATATTTTCACTTGTAGTATTATAATAATTGAAATGCTGGTTCTTCTGGGGGTGTTCTATCCACTCATCTACCGCACCNATTTGGGCTCTGGGGTTTTTCTGTTTGGGAGTGTGTGTGAGATCCTTGGGGCTGGTAGTGTGTGTGAGATCCTTGTGGCTGGTGACTGTGCTCACAAAAACAGCAAGATTCTTCTATTGCTATGCTATGTTTGTACAATTATTGTCCTTGCTTAATGTTTATGATTTACTCATATATATTAACGAATAACAATGTCTTTTTTTTTTACCTGTCTTGAGTAACAATAGGGATTTGATCCATCAATAAAAAGTAACATTTTCTTAAAAAATTCCATTTCTAGAATACAAGCCCAGAATAATTTTTGAGCTGAAATTTACATTTCAATATTTTATCTTTGACTTTAGAAGGCTGATGACGGTACGCTAGGGGCCCATTGTATGTTTTTGCCCAGGGCCTTTTTCCTTGTTGATCTGTCCCTGATCGCATCTAACAATCACTACTTTTTATTTAGGTTGTTTAGATGGTTTTGGATCTAGGATCTGTTTTAAGAAATTGATGTCATTACACTCCACGTTTACCCTTTAAAATCATTTTAATATTCAATCAAATTTTGATAGAATCTTTCTTTTATATTTGTTTCTTTCTTCTTCTTCTGAGCGGAACACTTTTAAAGACAGCCTCTCTTTATAAACTTTAAAATGATCCAATGTATTGATAAAAAACTTGTGTGAATGTCTTTGTTACTAAAGCCTGTTTTGGACTTTCGATTCCTTAAACAATGTATTTTTAAGACAGGTTCAAATCGGGAGTCATGGCCAACGGTCAGGTATGCCGAGCTCTCAACAAATTGTTCCATGGTGGAATTTGCTTACTTTGAATCACAAAACACTTGTTGTGCAACACTTTTAATGAATAACTTCAAGTATTTTGTGGATATTTCTTATCTCTAAAGATACATTTATAACCAAGTGTATAACAGAGTTCTGGAACACCAGTGCCGAATCAGTTTCTCATTCAGTTTGCTCCCAAAAAACCCACAACTTGTTTCTCTTTTTTAAAGTTTGTTGCCTATTCACAAAATGTTCGCCTCATAATTCGTTTACTACACAAAGAGAACTAATAATCCATAAATTATAAGCCATTCTAACTTCTTTGTTGCTAAAACTAGAAATGTGAAATATCCACAACCCTCATGTTATTAACATAAAAACACAAACAAAAGGAAATCAAACGTATACAATAAAAAGTTAATTAATCATTACCTCAAACCTCTTCACACAAACACGTTGAAGTCCCACCTTAATAGTGATTTTGTGTCTCCGTTCAGAGCATACAGGACATGTTTTCTTGTTATTAAAGTCGGGAGGAGCTCAGCTAAATTGGCGCACGGACAGAATGGAGTTCAACTGGCTCGACCAGAGACGGTAAACGACGCACAACTCAAGTGTCAGGAGGAGGGATTGACAAAAATGTTAACATCTACAGGATGACTCAGCTGATGTGGCATCCAGTAAAAATACCATGCAGTGATTCTTTTGTGTGTGCCAACTGTTGTAACTCAGATTTGTTGCCAAAGACAGAACTAAACTAAAAAAGCACAGAACTGCACAAAGGCCGTTTCCATTAGTAAATATTAAGGTGCATTAGCCCGGTGATTAAGATCTGCGGCAACATTTAATGTGTTCTTCATTGGCCCACACTACCCACTTCTTCTGGAAGTTTTTTCGCAATCCTGCAGGCAAACAAACAAATGACAAGCCAAACACATAACCTCCTTGGCGGAGAGACAGCAACCAAAAAACAAAACTGTATTGAGGGAGAATTTTTTTATTTATTGAAAGAGCAAAATATCATTTTGTGAGGAATGATGGTATATTGGTCTTTATCTTCTGCCCTCAACTTGGTCCAAATGGTCATGATAGCAAAACTGTGGTCCATTCCTGGCAAAACGTGCTCAGGGTCCTTTCTAGTAGTCACAAGACTTTACTAAAAGAGACTCATTAAGACATTTGTTCTACAAAGTGTTTCCCTTTCTGCAAACATTTGGAGTAAATTCTAGACTATTTTACAGGAACTCCACACCCACATTAGCATTGATAATGTTTGGTCAATTAATTCCAGACTGGAGTTGGTCAGATGAGGAGAGGGAAGGCCTTCTGGTGCTCTGGATCTTCCCTCAGGTAGTTGGAAATAAAGAAGCCACTCTGCTTACTCCTTATACTTCCTGTCAATGCGACGTCACATCCCTCCATCACTTCCCATTTTTGACATTGAGCATTTTCTCCTGTGATAAAAAAAGAATCAAAGAATGGAAACAAAGCTCGTCAAACACCTTTAAAACGAATAAATAATTTCTATACAGTTTCTATGTTGATCATATTTAAGACATACTGTTAGCTTGTACAAATTTGGCAAAAAAAACTTCAAAACCGTACTTTGATCATGGTCTCCAGCTTGATGGCGTCAGCAGCAAACTTGCGAATGCCGTCGGACAGTTTCTCCGTGGCCATCTGGTCCTCGTTGTGCTGCCAGCGGTAATCCTTCTCATCCAGGTGGATCTTCTCCAGATCAGAGGCCTTTGCTGCAAACAAACCATCAGAGTCAAACATTTCTGTATCTAAGATTAAGCCGTTGACGTGTCATGTGAAACATTTTGAATTCCATCTCGTCTCAGTGTTTGGAGATGACTCTTTAAGAACAACACCATTATCCTGCTAGACAAAAGGATGACATACAGGGAAGACTTTTTAATAGCAGGTGTCAGTGCACCATTATTGTCATGAACACGGGGTGCAGCCAGTACAAAGAACATCATGAAAATATGTATTTCATAATAACAAAAGTAAAGCTGCACATTTTGAAGCAGAAGTTGACTTTTTTGATACTTCCATTTTATTATTTGTTTTAAAGAAACCGGTATAACAGCTGCAGTGGCCAGAACCCCAAATTAGACTCCAATAGTTTCCTGAATGTCCATGCACAATGAAAATAAAGCTGGGTAACGATAATAGCAGCACCTAGCAGAGGCAGCCTTTGGACCCCAGACAGTACCTTTGTCCACTTTGAGCATCTCTGTGATGGTGCTGTGGTCCTGGCTGAGCTCTGCCAGCAGGCTGGGGGAGATGGTGAGCAGATCGCAGCCTGCCAGGGCCTTCACCTGCCCCGTGTTCCTGAAGGAGGCGCCCATCACCACAGTGCTGTAGCCAAACTTCTTGTAATAGTTAAAAATCTTGGTCACACTCAGTACACCTAGGGAAGAAAACGAAAGAACATTTTAAAGCTCAAATTCATCAGATTGAACACATGCCAGCACCTGTAGTGTCAGACTTAATGAGCAGTTCCTCAAAGTAAAGTCCAGGCTATTCGAAGTTTAAAACAGAAGGAGGTTACCTCAGGAATACTATTTTAATTCTGCTGTTCCTCCTTTTGTTTAGTTTTTTGATAAGATCCTAAATGCACCATCAGGATTCCCATAACAGTCCCAAATCTGATGACTTGATATAACTCTTCCATTTATTTGACTGAGCCAATCAGTTGTTAAAGGGAAAATAACTCTGAATTAGCACATTTGTAATGATTAAAAAAAAGAGCATTTAAAGAGTTTAGAGTGTGAAGTTGATTTCACTCAAAAATATTATACACTGATTTACAGATGCCTCTTTCTCGGAACCAAAGCGTCACATGATACAGCTTAAACAAACTGCTTCAATACTCGGTGCACCTTTGACATATTTTCACTTGAATGCAACGTTCATACACTGAGGACAGCCTTTGTTACCTGGGTCTTCCTGTGGCTCGTAGCTCTTGCGACCTGTACTCTCCTTGTACCAGTCGAGGATACGCCCCACGAAGGGTGATATGAGCGTGACCTTTGCTTCTGCACAGGCCACAGCCTGAGCAAAGGAGAACAGCAGGGTCATGTTGCAGTGAACACCGTGCTTCTCCTCCAGCTCCCTGCACGGAAAATAAAAATACACTCAGGAAAACCTGTCACAAGCAGTCATGCATTCTTTCTTTGCCTGACATTTCAACCAGAATATGAAAACATGACTATGGTTTGATTATACTGCTGTCTTTTTGTTAGGAGAAATTAAAGGGTTAAACATGTGCAATCAAATTGAGAAAGTGCAGTTAATAGAGATACAGGTTTTTGATTTAGGTAGAAATGTAGATTTTTGTAGTAACACTCAGGAATTACAGTGATGTGTAGAAGTCCTTAAGAAATGCCTCATGAAGTTGCCCTATTGCGCATGTAAAAACGAAATGTTCTCTTTCGTAGGGATTTCCTGATCAGATCTAAAAGATCGTAAGTCTCACCAAGCAAAACTTTTTTTGAATCTTGTAGAAACTTGTGCAAAAGATGTATTTTAATTAAAGCAATTATTCAAATGAAAAAATGTCAAGCACTGAGCCATAAGCCTAATTTCTTTGGTACGTCAACAGCTTTCATAATGCATAACAGCAAAGGCACTGTATGTGTTTTCCACTCAGCAGTGTCATAAATGTCTGTTCATAAAGCCGTCTCCCTGCAACAATCTGCCTGGAATATCTCTGCATGTCATGTGTTTTCTTTTATTTCCGAAACCTACTGAGAACCCAGTAATTATTTTAAAGAAAACATTATGAGTCACACAGTTAAAACTTAATAGACAAACTTTTAATAATTGTTTGTCATAGAAAATGAGTACATAAAAAGAACAAGTTCTACCACTGTGCAAAAAAATAAAAGATGCCTCGCAGTTTAGTGCTGTATTTGGGGACTTGCTTAATATGTTTGTATAAGCACTTATTATAATTTTGTATGTGTTGTTTTGGTTTCTTTTTCTTTATTTGAATAAACTTTTTGTTAGAGGAGAATTAAATTGGTTAGCGTACCTAAACATTATAAAAAACCTTTTAACATCATACATTAGTAAAACACAGTAAACTGAGACGGACAATATAAGTGGTAGGCGAACATAGTTAACATTTCACGCTCACCTGCCGGCCTGGATCCCTTCCCATGTGGATGACAGCTTGATGAGCACACGCTCCTTGTCGATGCCTGCTTCTTCGTAGAGAGCGATGATCCTCAGGGCTTTGGCAACCATTTCCTCTTTATCGAAAGATAATCTGTTAGATAAAGAGAAAGATACAGCCATTCATAATTGAATAGTAATAATATATTGAACATACAGCAGTGGCTCGGAGGGGAGGTTTGATCCCTGGCTCCAAACGGTTAGCCCATTGCCTAACATGGCATTGAGTTTGAATGTGCTTTATAAATGCCATCTAAATGTGACTGCATTTACTCAAAATCAGCATTAAGGAATGTATTATAGGTTGTGCTGCAAAATGTACCACACAAGTTCTCCAAGCAAATGTTTTTCCTCAAGGTAAAATTGACTAAGATGTTACCAATTATTGATCAGTAATGCAGATGCAGACTGATTTTAAATTTAAAGACATGAAATATAATGTTATGAGGGACAATGTAAGTATTCTGCTCCTAGTACTAGACTCCTGGTATTAGGATGGGTTAAATGCAGAGAACAAATTCACTGTGTGTGCTGTGTGCTCTGCATGTGTGACCATTAAAGAAGGTTTCATGGACAGCATTTCATTGTAAAGGGATTACCTATAATCCTCCAAGAAAGTCAACATGAAATAAAAGTAAACACGTTTTTCACATTAGAGTGATGACGTAAGAAACAACATGGTCACAAATTACCTGATGTATGCACGCACTTTAGGCCTCCCTCAAAGTGTTACTTTTAAAGTACAATTGACATTTGGGAACCCCCTTGTGACATGTTTGCACTAACCTGGCATCCACCTCAGTGGAGACTCTGCCTGGGACCTTCTTCAGGATCTCTAGCCCAAAACTCACAAACAGCTTGTCCATTGTGTTGGCTACCTGCTCATCTTCAGTTCTGGACAGAAAAGGAGACAATAGCAAATTGGTTAACTTAAAGTCAGAGGGACACAAAAAAAGGGAATTGCAGAAATTATCTCAACCTGCAATCTTCGACTTTGGAAAATGTAAAATATTAATTTTGACACATCAGTTCGAAGAGGTCTGACTGACTTTAAAAAATAGTGTAGGAACCCCATAAAACACATTTAAAACAAATGGAAAAACTGAAACGTTTTTAAACGTGTTAAATTACACTTGTTACATGAGTCAAAGAATTACATTTATCAATCTCTGAGCAGTTGTAAATTAAGGAAGTTTGTCCACACCTTGCACAAAGAAAAGTATGTACTTTGCATAATCTGCAAAACCACATCAAAAGTTCCCTTTTTTAAGTAAATGACACATATGTTACAGGCTTCTAAAATACAGGTTAACCAGATGTTAACCAGACTACCTCTGAAGTAATCCATCAACTTTTCAAGTAGAGGTTGGTTCGATTTTAAGGTGTTTGGTTCAGTTCTTATTTTTGCCTGACATCTTACCCGCCTTTTGCGAGGCCATATTTAATGGCCTGATCCACCAGGTGCTGGTAGGCTGGCATCTTGGCAGCAGCCAGGATCAGAGACGGGTTGGTAGTGGCATCTTGAGGCTTGTACTCTTCAATGGCTGCAAGACAAGTAGAGAGAAGATTGGTTTGAAGTGACACACAGATCCACAATGAGGCAGAGAAACTCCCAGGATAGACTCACTGTAGGTGTCCTAATAATTCAAAACAGATATATTAAAGTTAAAACACGGCAAAGCTGTCCAAAGGTCTCTTACAAAATCCCAAAACACTATTTACAATTACAAACCTAAGAGTTAAAAAGGACTGTCTTCAAGACAATAAATAAAAAAAAATCTTAAAAAAGGGTAAGGGATTAAAAATTGTGGATTTAATACAACTCACAGATTCCCTAGAAACCCTGAAACAACATAGTGTTGCTGTCAGATAAAAAAAGAATGGCGCCATCTATTGCATAGAAATATTTGTGTTACCATCCTCCAAAACCAACCTATTCAGAGTCTGAAGCACATTCAGTAGGAGTGGGAGTATCATTAATGTATGTTAATAGTCTTTTGTTTATTTCCAAAGGCAGCGTATATGCTGCTGGGAACTCTTAAGACTCTCATGCTCAGTAAGAATAAATAGTTCAAACTGCTAACATAATATTGGAAAAACAAGCTAAAGGAATCCTAAGTGCTGAAAAATCTTAGCACCAAAAAGAGTTAAATAATGTTAAGGGTTATTAAGGGTTTAATAAGCAATTAAGTGTTAATGTATTCCATAATCTTGACCTTAGAAACATCCAGTTGTAGTTTACAGGACTGACCAGCAGATTTAAATTTGATATGTGTGAGTAGCTTTTTCATGACGCACACAGGTTTTATGTCAGTACTCGCTGTTGCTAGCTTTTCAGGCCAAGAACAAAGCCTCTCTCTGTTATAGGGCCAACCATCTTTCAACCCCCACTTCAAAAAGAAGAAGATTTGATGCATCTGCAGGTCAGCAGGTTTGGACTGAATACTTGTGACCAACAGTTCAAGAAACAAACAAAGTTTGCTGATTAAAAAAGTTTTTCTAAACATAGTCTGGTGCCCCTAACACCTGTGTCATTTTTTATTTTCTAATAGCCACCCCGAATATATTTCCACTGACAATGCAGGTCATCATTTGGGCAAATAGTATTAAGTTATGATAGAAAGCTTGAACACAAATAAAAAACTATAAATATGATATCACTAGTGATGACTTTTTTGTGCAAGTTGACAAGATGTGTAGTTTAGAATGAGGAGTTCATTGTTTCAAGGCCTAATTTATTTGTCTATCAACAATGTGCACAACTATATTCGCATGGCACAACTGCTAATGAATTGGATACACATCAAACTTTATTCTCAAAATAACTTGGAAAGACTTAAAAAACATTCACGTTAGTGTGTCACCTGCACAAAGCAGTTGTAAACAGTTCTTCAAGGAGCCTAATCCCCCACTCTCTTTAAACCATCAATAACTGTGCAGGCTAATCAGTTACCTGTAATCCTGTGCTAGATGCCACAAGTGCCCCCCCCCTCCATTTACTTTCAAGCTTCTTTCAAGAACATTCTTCCCAATCAGTTGCATATAAGTGAAGCAATGTTGTTTCAACAAGTTCTTGGAATTCTTATGTAATGCTTCTTGACTTAAATATGACTGAACTTGCCAGTGAAACCTGAGAAATCCTACAATATTCATGTGGATTTTTAAGCAAAGCCAATGGTTTCAACTCGATTAGTTTGCAGTAATGTATTTGATTAGACAAATTGCAACTAATTATTATTTACTATGGCTAGTTTTCTTATTTGCTTTCAGTTAATCAAAAATGACACACGTTGTAAAAAATAGATAACCAGGTTCTGTTGAAACAACTAATTGAGAAACCCCATTATATATAACATCATTATTTGACTGCGTCCATTTCGTGTATGCAGCATGCCTCAATACAGAATCACTCTTTTGTCTAAATTAAAAAGAGTAATTGAATCAGTTTAGCAAATGTTTACGCCAGCACTCCTGCAGTGTAACCAGAGCAGCTTTATCAGCCTGCTCAGTCACGCCTGGCTGACAGACCAGTTCTGTCATGTCATCCTGAGTCTGCAAACTCGGGATGAGGAACTGAGGAAATCTGGTTTGCAAAACAATGCATTTGTATTACGGCAAACAGTTCCTCATTGTGGTCCATTGAGTAAGGTGAACTTTTGCTCTGCGGCATGAAAGAGACTAACGAGGAAGGGCAACACACACCCTTTACACCCTGTTGCTGAGTTACTATGCATACTCCGGGAACACACTGGCATAACCTAGTTGTATTGTGTACATTTTTATTTGTACACAATAAACAAAAGTGCAAATTGTAGATTGTTGAAAAGTGTTTATTTTGGGAAGTTGCTAATGCACAAAATACATGCATATTTCATTGATTGAATTAGCAAACACGTCACGTCAGTAACTAGAGTTTCTGCTAGTGTTGCTAAAGTAGCCAACAGCTACTGCCTAATAGGTAACAGTACTAACAAGTAATCGGCTTATAAGATTGTGAACTATAGTAGTGACACAGTAAACTATTGTAAAACCTACTGGGAGTTAGTTAGCTTGACAGTTAGCTGGCTAACACTAACCCTTCGGTGTAAATGAATTACTACTGATGCTAACATTTGCCGCTCCCACTTGACATGGCGGTCATTCACATTATAGCTGCATATTTCCTGCTCAGATAGTTAGCATGCTAACCAAGCTAACATTAGCATGTCACTAATAGCAGGGGTTATCTCACCGTTAAAGTCTCCAGTGTCTGCCACCACCACAGTGTGTTTCTTCAGCTGGTTCAGTGCTGACTCCATCTTTCTCCGTTTGTCTGGTGACACAGAGGACATGATGAGCAGAGAATGGGACCCTTTTATACACAGAAAGCACGTGAGAGCAGGCGGAATGTCAGCCAGACGGGAGCGCGCAACGCAAGAGAGGGGAGGACTCCGCGGGAACGCGCTCAGGACAGATAAGACCAGTAAACTCGCGCAGAAACAAGGAATAAATCCCCGTCTCTCTAAGAACAATGAAAGAAACATTCAGAAATATGAGTCTTACAAATGTGACTTATCACGGATGACAGATGTAGCTATGTTGCCTTATTCTTGTATAATACAAGTTCCACTTATATGGAAGACGCAGAAATACTATACTTTATGTCTATTTTAGGCCTACAAAAGTATCAGTTGTTGTTGCAGCTGATAAAGCAGATGATTAGAGAAAGTAAAATACATAAATAATAAGACTTTAGTATTAATCATCTGAATCTGCAAAGTAACTTATATTATTAAATATGATTTAATGTAGTACAACAAATACTAACCGACCAAATGTATGGAGAACAAGTGTAAAAGGTTACCCAAGTAAAGTACAAGTATCTCAAAATGGTATTTAAGTGTACACTATTCCACTATTCCACAATTGCATACCTAATTTAACTACAGTATGAGCCGAGGTAACACATGGTGACTGATGTATTTAACAAAACTAGTATGAAAATACTTCTTTAGAAGTAAAAGTCTTGATATTCTTTTAAAAAAAAAAAAAAAGGTAAGTATAAGCCCTTATGATCAAGTCACCTCTTTGAAAAGCATTTGTACAAAGCTTATTGAAGACATTAAGTAAGTACCCTTCTTAAACCTTTATAACTGCCATGCAATAAGAGTTAAACTACTCTGTTGATAACCGAACATTACATACAAAGTTTAAGTAATATATTTAATAACACAAGGGAACAGAGTCTGCTAATCGTTTGCCATTGTATTATGTGATGTAGCTTGCTTGATTATCTCAATAACTGTTCCTAGCCACCTGTTCTTGAAATATCTTCTTGCCCTCCAGTTACAGCCACTTGAACATGACTCTTATTTTTGCAATAAGTTATGGGAACAATTTAATTTAAGTAACCATTTGCTGTAATTGCCTTGCTCGCCTTTCAGTGTATGTTAAAAAACGATACTTCAACCCTCAGGCTTTAGCAGTAGAATAATACTGTCATTTACTCAATTACCAACCTTGTAGGTCTGCTTTACTGACATATTCATTTTTTACCAATATCTCACAGTTATCATTTGTTATATATAGAATCCATAACCTAATTGCAAAGAGCTTCATATGTTTCCTTGTGAGAACACCTTCCTTTGACAAACAATCTCTGCCCTGAGGTTAAAATAAACAAAAACCTACATCACTGAGGTTAAGATACATTAACTCTGTGTGCTCTCTTCTTTGTTTTTCTGTTTACTTATTGATTGATTTGGTAGAAATTCAGATTTGTCACGATAACATTTAGGCCTGCTTATTCATGCTTAGTTGCAAGAATAGTTTTACTACATTGTAGAAGGAAATATTGGACTTTTACTTTTTTACATACTTATTTTTAGCTTGAGTTACTTTGCAGATTCCGAATATTTTTATTCATACACAATGTAAAATATTATGATGTATTGAGAGATAAATAGAATGTTTTAGTTATTAGGCTACCCAGCAGTATAATAAAGTAATTAAAATGAGTGCCACCTTCACTACTTGCATCATTAAAGTAATGCTAGAATTATAATCCAATAATATTATTCTGTATTGGGCCATTCAGCATAATGACTAATTTTCCTCTTGGTACTTTAGACAGACCTTGATGCTAATACTTATCAAAAATATATTTTAAGTATACTTTGACTGCATCCTTGTACTTGTAAACAAAACTTGAGTATTTCTACACTATTTACCGAATATCTGACTACCTTCTCCACTGTTGCCCGATATGCACAATTTGACGGCCCCGGGGCCTCGGTGTGTGTGTTGTGTCGGTGTGTTGTGTCGGTGTGTTGTATTGGTGTGTTGTATTGGTGTGTGTGTTGTGTCGGTGTGTGTGTTGTGTCGGTGTGTGTGTGTGTTGTGTCGGTGTGTTGCAGGTTCCAGGTGGGGGAAGTTGGAGGCAGCTGGGTCTTGTCTCCAGGTTGCATAAGCCCTGACTGCTCCATCTATTGTAGTTCAGGTGCTCTGATGCAGCGGCATGTTTTCCAGTCCCAGGTGTAGCCTTTGATCTTGGCCATAATAATAGAATAACCCACTTCTGTTAATAAAGTTATTATCCATGCTATCCAGCATCTCGATTACCACAACCTTGTACACACAGTAACAATCTGATGTGTAAATACTGAAACTGGAGTCTTATTCCTGTGTGTGTCAGCACACTTGGACGGTAAAGCTGTTTCTGAATAGTTTCTCACTAAAAAAACCTCAGAGGATGAATCTTTCTGACTTTTTTGACAGTTCTACTTATCCTGGGGATGTATTTAAAAAGGTACTAGAGGAATCCTAATCACTGAGATGTGATGTTCACAATGGTTTTCATTTTAGGTTTTAATGGATAGCATACATCTCAACAATTAATGAATGGATTGTCATTCTATTTGGAGCAAACATCTCCAGCATCAGCATGAATTGCATTTATTTCAATCATTTGCAACTGTTTAGTTTAGCGCCATCATAATTTATCCAACTCTTTTGTTTATGACTTAGTAATGGAAAAATGAATGACATTCCCATCAGCTTCAGCTGTAGTTAGTGTTTAGCACTAGACGAAGCCATCAGCATGTTGTTCCTGGGGTGCTAATGCGACATTTACTCTTTATAATGGGTTGCAACATTTTGCTCTGTCCTCAAATATAACAAACACAATGAAAAAGTAAAGAACACACAAGTATTTGACAGCAAACACAGAACTGTGTGAAAACATTGACAAAAGTCTAGTAAATACATGTTTACAAACCAGTAACGAGGAGATGGCTGTCTTCCAATCCAAACTCACGGATATTTTTAACACCATAAGCTAATAGTTATCACAAGCCACCACAGGAAACGTCACAGGTCCTGTTTGATCTATTAAACTACAATTACAGTTGAATATTACTGAGAAACGCAGGTTCCAAAAAATAATTTGCTTACAAACGACCACACGGCCTATGGCTGACCATTTGTATTAAATATAAGAAGCCATTTGTATTCATCAGCTGCTGCTTTTATATCGCCTACTGATTCAGAGCAAATTAGCCTATAAATTACTTTCTATTCTCAGTGGGCCGTCAGCTCTACAGAGAATGATTTAATTATATTAAGAGCAATAGCTTTACCCCTAGATGTCAGCCTTTTGCTGTTTTGGCAGGCCGGTCAGAACGTCACGGGGGGAGAGAGAGACTGAGACTGCCAAGGCACACAGGGGGATAGGAGAGAGAGGAGAGAGAGAGAGAGAGAGGAGGAGGGAGGAGAGAGAGAGAGAGGAAGAGGGAGAGAAGAGGGAGGGAGAGAGAGAGCCTATCCCCTGTGTGCCTTGGCAGTCTCAGAGAGAGAGAGGGAGGCTGTTGAGAGGAACAACTTGGGAAATTCTGTCATACACTGAGGGAAGAAGAGGGACAGCCAGCAGAGAGTGTAGAGAGTGAGATAAGTGTTTGGTAAGTTATTTTCACCTTTCTCTTAATACAGTATTTAAATGAGATGTGTAAACTAACTCTTATGCCCAACTTCTTCTACTTTGCATCTTTAATTCTGTACTCCAAAAGTGATCCTGTTTATGAGATTAAACTGAGTTATTAAGGGAGCTTTTGCCCTCTGAATTTTTCAAATTATTAGGGCTAAACTATATCCCATTTATCTTGTGTGAAATGGTAATGAATGTTGTTTACTTAAAGGTGGGATAATATTAATCTTATGCGCTCACTTGGTATGATTTTCTCTCTTACACTGGCCAGGATATGTGTTTTTTCTGTTCTTAAGTTGTTGTCTATACTATTGGTTGTTTTAGCAGTATGTTATGATGGGGGAAATGTGGTGATGTGTGAGAGTGAAGCTTTCTGATTGGCTGAGGAATGTTTCCCTGGACCTCGATGAAAGACAGAAATAAACTTGTGGCGAAGAACAACATTTCAGAATACCAACCATTCCACAAGCTTTTCCCTCCCATCAATTTTTTTTCCTGGACGTGTTACAGGAACTTAAAGCCTCACTGACTTCTCAAAACCATGGCTGGCTGGCATAGTGCAGAGGAATTCACTGCCATACAATGTGCCCTTATGTTAGGTTAGCAGAGGGCTTACATTTTCACATAAAACATTTATCTCAACTTCAATGAGAGCAGAAACGCTCCATTAAAGGGGGAATCTATTCCAAAAACTGTTAAAACGTGAGGTGTTTCTATACACCCATGATGTTATTAGCATCAGTGGGTTTAAAAAACAGAAAAATCTCTCAGCTGTTCAAGAATATCAATGCTAAACAACAGCTTTAAGCATCAGTCTCACTATCAAGGCAAAGGTTTTCTTTCTTGAGAAACTTAAGTTTGTGTTGATTCTCAACAAGTGTACATGGAGGGATGTTTAATCAGAGAGTGCGAGAATCCCTTTGAAGTGCACTGACAGAGACCACAATAACAAGACATTTTAATCACAATCACCACTTGACTTTTGTTCAACTAGAAAAACTCTCACTGACTTTCCTCTAAAAACATATGCATATTCACATTTAACTGTTTCTTTAAGTGTTACATATATCAAACCTGCTGCCCACATGTCTCCTTTTTCCGAAATGCAAACATACACCAAGTTGTCAGTTTAAAAGGTATAGCTATATCTATTATATGATAGGTACGGGAACTTAAATATGAGAACTTGCTGCTTTACATTTCTTGTAATTGTTAATTGAATTTGACATTCATGATTTTAAACAAAAGTATATTTGACAGAATTATTTTTGGTAGAGTGAATTGTAATTAGGGATACACTAATCCAACTTTTTCATTTTACTTAAACTGTATCTTCCGACACTAATTACCAAGCTATTACCATACAATTGCTTTTTTCTTAATTAAAATCTGTATAACAGCTCCCTCAATCTGTGAAACTCATTATCAAATAAGACACGATTATAATGTTTTGGGGATCGC